ACTATCGGCCCGAAATTCCAAAAATTCAACTTTCGCCATTTCAAGTCTAAATAAGCTACGGACCTCCAAAACATAATCCGGACACACCCCTAAGCCCGAAATCATCCAACGGAGCTAACGAAATCGACGGAATTCTATTTCGGAGCCGTCTTCACACTACTCCGACTACGGTCCAAATTCTAAGATTTAAACTCTCATTTAGGGACTAAGTGTCCCAAAGCATTCCGAAACTCAAAATGAACTCTTCCGGGAAATCACAATAGCAGAAAAGGACACAGGGGAAGCAGTTAATAGGGGACCGAGGCGTTAATTCTCAAAACGGCCGGCCGGGTCGTTATAGTATGTATATGTATTTCAACATGGCTTCTTCGTTACTGTTTTTCTTTTTAAAACCTAATGTGAGTTGCTTCTTTTGAGTCGAGGACAACTCGGTCTAAAAACCGACTGACTTCTGTCAGTTTTTCAAAATATTTTTTTAATTTTTTTTTACGAAACCGACCAACTTCAGTCTATTTTTTTTGGCACAACAACGCGAAAACTATTTTGCAGCTCGCGAAATTTATTTTTCAAAAACCAACCAACTTTGATCGATTTTTTATTTAAAATAAATTAAAATTAATATTCAAAAAACCGTCCGATTCAGTCGGTTATTTTGGTCGGTCATATTAAAAAACCAACCGATTTCGGTTGGTAATTTTATTTTTTTAATAAAATCGATCAAAACCATTAGGTTATTTTCGCGCGCAAATGCAGTTAAAGAGTATAAATAAAATAAAAGAAAGTATTAAACCAAAATGCACCAGTGGTCTAGTAGTAAAATAGTATTCTGCTACATTATAGACCTTGGTTTGATTCCTAGACGGTGCATTTTTTAATTACATAATTAAAAATACCGACCGATTTCGATTGTTTTTTTTGACAGATTTTTTTTCTTTTGGTTGTTTGTGGAATTTAATTGACTGACCAAAATCGATAGGAAAATACTGACTGAAGTCGGTCGGTTGGATCTACCGACCACACGATTAGCGACCACCACGAAGAAGTCGGTTTTCGGTTGATTTTTACCAATTACCAACAAACATCGGTTAGTTTTTGCGATCGTTTTTTCCTCTTTTATTAGTAGTGTATAATATTTTGAATTTTAATTATATTAAATAAATTTTGATGAAATCCTGAGCATAGATTAAAGGTCGTGTTTCTAGCGTGAGAACCCAAATTTGGAACATAAATTGAGAGAATTCAAGATGAGAGCTAGGAAAAGTTTCCCCTTTTAGGCTATTATTTTTGGAAAGTTATAGGCTAATATCAAGATAATTTAAGAATTCTGGCATAATATAAATATTTATACTATATTAAAAGCACGAAAGCCCTCAGCGAAATATCGTTTGCCTTTTTTACCCTCTAAAAATAGATTCCACACCAGACAAAATAGTCATTTTAATTATGTTCCTCATATTAAGGAATAATCATTTAATTATTTTCCTAATATTTAGAATTCTAAAATAAACTAAATTTTGTGTATTAATGTTTCCTTATTTAAATCGTATAAAGTATTTATAACTCAACCAATCATTATTACCTTGGATTACCTTTTAACAATAACTTGCATACAACAGAACAAATACGTTTATAAGGCTTAATCGACAAGAAACATAGCAAATCTATTAAAAAAAACTTAGTGTAATTGAAGTCTTAAATAATTTTATTCATCTAGAGTTTAAACTACTTATACCATTATGCATATATATATATATATATATATATATATATATATATATACTTAGCTATTTTCTTAGTTATTTTTTGTAATTGTTGAGCATAGCTTCAAACACAAAAATCCAAAAATAAAATGTTGATCAAGTATATATTGAGTTAAGGATTGTAAATGCAAGTGACTATACACCATCCTTGTCATAGTTAAATATTTAAAAGTTGAAATGTGCTGACATTAAGAATTCGATGTGTTTGCATTAATTGATTAGCAAAAAAATTCAATTCAATACTATTACAAATTCATCATATAAGTAAATCATCTTTCAAATTGACACAATGATTTACATAAATTTGCGCCCTTAAAGAAGGAATCAGCATTGAAAGAAAAAAAAAATAGAGGAAAATCAATTATGATATTAGCGGTATTAAGTGTTAAATCGTCATTGGATCAATATTTGTCATTTAACTTACAATTTTTTCTTAGTTATTTATTTTATGACTCAAACACAACTATCAATACAATATTTATATGATATTACAAAAATTATATTCAGTGAGATGAGATACACGTGCAACGCGCGTACCTATAGACTAGTAGATATTAATGGGCGGTGGAGTTCCAAAGAACATAATTATACCCATAAAAAATAATCAAAAGTTTAGCAAAAGGGTATGTGTCTGTGCCTCCACCTTTACTATAGGGATTTGTACTAATTGTCTGTATAGGTCAACTCACTAGATGATTGGTCAGTTGGCTCACGAGTGCCTATTAAAAATTGATCCAAAGAATAATTAGCTGTATGTGCAAAGGATTAGGGCTAAAATAAGATTATTTTTACCTCAGAAGACATTGCTTTAGTGTAATACTTGCTAAAATTGATTGCGGGGTGATAAATGAATGAACTGATTCCAGAGTTGACTCAATTATGCATATAAAAGTATTAAAGTACCAAAGTAGATCTAAAAAAAGTAGAGTGAAGAGAATCAACACACCGTTTTTGTTGATTAATTCTTTATAATCATGTACGTTTTGTAATTTTTTAGAACGTAAAGTTTTTGGATAGGTGCCAATAAAAATAAGTATCTCATTAGTGCCTTGACAATCCTAGTCTTATTTATTGCTAATGTTCGTACCAAAGTCAACAAACAGTTGATTGGTACATAATCTATGTAATATTTTAAAATATTATGCATCATTAAAAAAAATTGGGAGAAAATAACTTACAGAATATAAAAAATGTTATAGAAAATAATGAAATCTCTAAAATATGACTATTATTAAAAAGGTTACTTGATTTATACTGGTTTCACTTGTGTAGAAGTGTCTTAGTAATTGTTATACCTTCTCCGTCATTGGAGAGTATTACTCCCTTTTCCCTCAGTTATTTCTTGGAGAAGATAATTTTTTTTTTTTAATACTGTAAGTGGCAAATTTCATGTGGCAAATAATATTAGGACTCATGAGCAGATAGGATCACTTGCACAAATAAAAAATCTAGTGAAAAAAAAAGAGACCAGAGGCTATGGAAAAGTGAGCATATGGTTCTGTCCACTATCTTTTATAGCACAACTCTCCAACACAAGCTCTTGGTCTGTGATTCCCCACTGGCATTCACGACTACAAATGGATAACTAGCCTATCTATTATTAGAGAGCCTATGTTCAACCCCCCTTCCCAATTCCCACTCCCCCAAAAGATTGATAGAAAGGATTTAACTTTAGAGTGCTGCTATTCAGCCCAACTGAGCGTGGCCCAACAATGACCACACTCGTGAAATACCAATAAAGCCCTTATTTTGGAGTTTGGCTTAATGGCCATTTTTTCCCTCCAAAATAAGTTAATAAATTTTGATTATCCCAAAATATTGATCCCATAAATCATCATTCTCTCAGCATGTGAAGATAAAAAGCCTTCGTATATACGGATGACAACCTTCGTATATACGCTCATTACGTTTTTTTAAATACAATTACGTATTTTTTTAAATGCAGTTTATACAGATGGGAAGATCAAAAGTCTATTATGTATACATTATACGTTATTCCTTATCATACTATATACTTATGTTAAGAGAGCTTTCATTAAACACATAATTCACCACACTTCCCTTAACCTAAACATGAATGCTAACCGAGAAACTAGTTTGGAGCCATTAAACCCCAATAACAGCCTAGAAACTAGGTCGGATCAACTAAGGAATGCATTATACATATCATTGGGGTTGAATTCGGACGACAGTTTGATGAATGAAGATGAATCGCTCGACATTCGATTCGGACAGCAACTTCAATGATGGAGAAGATCATGTTGACGTTGCTGCTGCTGCTGATGATGATGATGACGACGACGACCATTATTTAGAGGGAGAGGGAGAAGTTGGAGAGGACATGGAAATGCCTAATGAGTTCAATGAAGAAGATCTCATTATTGGTCCAATTACTAGGATGTGCTTCAGTAGTAAGGATGCTATGTTTGATTTTTACAAAAAACATGCAAGATTATCGGGGTTTTGCATTGTCAAAAGAACATCAAACAAAGAAGGTGGTGATATTGTTAGGTATGTGCAATATGGTCGTGATAGGTCTAGAAAACCAAGGAATAAGCATGTTACCAAGAGGAGGAACTGCCGTGCTAGAATAAATGGAATTTTGGAGGAGAATGGTTCATGGCGTGTTTCAAAGGTGGTTAAAAAACATAATTATCAATTGGAACCAGCATTATCGCAATTAATGGTTGGACACAGATCGCTTAGTAAGTCTCTTAAGAGAACTCTTGCGGCCAAAGATATTGCTGGCTTAAGACCCTAAAAAAATATAAGAGTCGATAAAGTACTTGCTGGTGGCCCCGAAAATCTGGGTTGCACCAAAGGACTGTAGAAATTATATCTTGAAGAGTAGAAAGCTTCAGTTGCAAAAAGGGGATGCACAATCATTACTCAAGTTCTTCAGTGACATGCAACAAAAAGATAGGGAATTTTACTACTCCGTAGATATGGATTGTTTTGGTCGACTTCGTAATGTCGTATGGGTTCATTCACACTCTAAGGTTGCATATGAGGAGTTCCATGATGTANTAATATGCCTTGATACCACATACCTTGTGAATCAATACTTTTGGGATGTGCTCTTATGTCTAGTGGGATGTGAATCCATTTGTTGGTGTCAATCAGCATAGGCAGTCCATACTTTTGGGATGTGCTCTTATGTCTAGTAAGGATATAACAAGTTACAAAATAGTGCTATCTACATGGCTTAGGGGTCTAAACAATGTTCATCTATTAGCTATCATGGCTGACCAATGTGATAGTATTAAGGCTGCCATCAATGCTATGATGCCAAATACGGTACATAGATATTGTATATGGCACATGTTAGCAAAGTTGCCTACGAAGTTAAGCAGAGTTCTTGATGGTAAGATTGCAAAGGCAGAATTTAAGGCTTTATTCTTTGATAACATTAATGTTGTTGAGTTTGAGAGACGATGGACTGATTATATTAAAAAATACAACTTAGAGGAAAGGGATTGGTTTTATAAGCTTTATTTGGAGAAGGAGAAATGGGTTCCTGTATACCTAAATGACCACTTTTGGGATGGGATGTTGTCCACACAAAGAAGTGAAGGAATGCATGCTTTCTTTGACGGATTCATCACCCGACAAAGCACTTTGAAGCTATTTGTTCAGCAATATGAGTTAGCCATAAGAGCTAAGTTCGAGAAAGAATTGGAAGCTGAATATAGGTCAAGGTGCTTTGAACCAAAATGTTTATCTGAATTTGCATGGGAGGAAAAATTTCAAACATGTTATACTCGTGAAGTGTTTGAGTTTTTTCAAGTACAGTTAAGGAAACTGTACCATCGTGAAATCAGCACCCCTGAAGACCATCAAGCAATAGCTGGAGTAGAGAATTACATTATCTTAGATTATTCGTTCAGGAGATTTAACACTAGAGATCCATTTGTATTCACGGTTGAATATACACCTATTGGCGAATATCTAAGTTGCAGCTGCAAGTGGTTTGAAACAAGAGGTATTCTATGCTGCCATATACTTAAGGCGTTGTCTCATAGGAGGATTAATAACGTTAATGAGAGGTATATATTGAGAAGGTGGAGAAAAGATGTTGTTCGTCCGCACTTGAAACGTTTCTTTCTTGGAGGTTACTCGCGTATGACTTCTGAATACATGATGTATATTGAACTATTAAAGCATCTTGAACGAGTTTGTGATATTGCATTGGACACTGAAGTGATGAGGCGATATATTAAGTATCATTTGAACAGATTGGAGCATGACCTTTTGAATTGGGATGATGATCAAATGATAATTCCAGATTGGGAATTTGAAGATACACATGATGGTGAGGGTGAGGGTGAGGGTGAGGGTGACGGTAAAGGAAGAAATATAAGAGATCCTAGATGCGTAGCTTCTCATGGACATCCAAGGTTGAATAGATATAGAGGGTGAATTGATTCATACTTTAGAAGTTCACAAACAGCTAGTGGAAGTGGAGTTAGAGGTAATAGGAGGGGTAGAGGTGGTTGGTAGATGTGTTGGCAGAGGTGGTGGTAGAGGCCATGGTAGAGGCTGTGGTAGAGGTGGTGGCAGAGGTGGTGGAAAAACTGGGCTAGCGGAAGGAATTGAGGTAAAGTATAAAAAATTATTATTATATTTTTTTCGAAAAATACATTGCTTATTAGTGTTATTTACTCTATACAGCAAGATGATGGAACAATACCACCACAGAGTAGCTTGCCTGATCTAAATGATGAAGCAAACTGGGAGATAAAAGACTTGACCGTTTAGTTTGAGATGATTTAAGTTTGAATTTTATTTAATTTGATTTGATATAGATTTTTTTGAATTTTTTGACTTTGTTTTTTAATAATTTAAACGTGTGATACTATAATTGTCATTGTTAAATATTTCTTCATTTTATTGTTACTTCATTTTAGTTTAGAGGACTACATTAACAAAATGTGATTAGAAGTGAAAGACTTCAGAACATTATAATCAGTTCAAACTAAGAACTAAAATACTCACATTTAGTTACTAAAACCCTACCCTTCAACCCTACTTTCAACATTCAACTTAAAACCCTACCTTCAACGCCTATCTTGGTATCCCTACCTTCAACCCTTACGTTGCATATTTTTCCCCAGAAAATTTCAATATTCAACTGTAACCAATTTCTAGCATTAACTTCAACCAAATACTCCAAGAGTTCATTGTAAAATCAGTGTAACCGTTCAATCTACCCATTTAACTTCCCTTAGTAGCATTTACTAGATCTTACAATACATTAACATATTTAACTTCCCTATGAAGCATTTACTATTATTATTATTATTATTATTATTATTATTATTATTATTATTATTATTATTATTATTATTATTATTATTATTATTATTATTATTTTCTGTATTTTTGCTCTTTATTCCCTTTTCAATATTTTTGTATAATTTTTGTATATTAAGAATAAGATATTCAATACCATTTTCAAAGAGGAACCCTATCAACTGTCTAATATAAGTAAAGTCTTCCAAATACGGAATTGAGAGGGTAAACTGTTTAATTGGTCCTCTATGATGGGTCAAAATGTGGCGGATAATATTTTCAAAGTAAGAAGTTTGCTGTATTTTCCAAAGGGTTCGATCAAGAGTAAGTTGTGGAATTCTACACCATTTATATCTCCATTTCCTTGATAAGATGCTTGTTCTAATAGCATCTGGTAAAGGCATACGTATAATAATATCATCAAGAACATCATCAGGAAGGTTGCCTAATATATCGAAAGGTAAAGTTCCAATGTAATTTTTTTTTTCGACTGGAGGCATCATATTAGGCTTAGGATTATAAGCAAAATGATGAAGATTAGGATAAACGAAAGTTTAGATTAAGATTATGGAAAAAGAAGAAGAGGAAGAAGTAAGAAACCTGTTGAAATTTTGAAGATAGAGCGCCAAGGAACCATGGGCGGATCAACTGCAAAACCGAAATTTTAGGCGTATCGATTAACTTCCCAAGGAAGATATGTATACTTATACTAATTTAGGATTTCAATATATATAAATGAAAGTACAAAAAGCATAAAAGTTCTAATCGGTGCGTTGGTTAAGTAAGGGTAGTTATTGCGTTTATTGAGTGAGGCGTCTCGAGATCGAATCTCACCTTTAACAGGGTGGATTTTAATTTTTTCTTATCAAGCCAATCAGTTTTTTTTTAAAAAAAAAAAGTTAAACAAGTAGTTATATTTTTTATCTACTTTATTTATTTCCTTCTTAAGACTAATTTTTACATGAATATTTTTCTACCTTCCGCCTTTTTTTTATTTTTCCTTTTTTTTTACTTAATAATTTCCTATAACAATAGCCGTTTATAACCTATGCTAATTATATCGTTGTGATTCATAGTAATATCGACTGTATGTATAATAGCCGTTTATATTACGGTCATACATATCGGCCTATAGCAACCATATAAGTACATTCACTAATATGATTACCAAGCTAATTATATCGTTATGATTCACAGTATTATCGACCGCTTGTATAATAGCCGTTTATATTACGGTCATACGTATTGGCATATAGCAACCATATAAGTCCATTCACTAATATGATTACCTAAATTAATTATATCGTTGTGATTCATAGTAATATCGACCTCTTGTATAATAGCCATTTATACTAAGGTCATACTTATCGGCCTATAGCAACCATATAAGTCCATTCACTAATATGATTACCTAAGCTAATTATATCGTTGTGATTCGTAGTAATATCGACCATTTATATAATAGCCGTTTATATTAAGGTCATATGTATTGGCCTATAGCAACCATATAAGTCCATTCACTAATATGATTACCTAAGCTAATTATATCGTTGTGATTCGTAGTAATATCGACCGTTTATATAATAGCCGTTTATATTAAGGTCATACGTATCGGCCTATAGCAACCATATAAGTACATTCACTAATATGATTACCTAAGCTAATTATATCGTTATAATTCATAGTAATATCGACCGCTTGTATAATAGCCGTTTATATTACGTCATACGTATTGGCTTATAGCAACCATATAAGTCCATTCACTAATATGATTACCTAAACTAATTATATCATTGTGATTCATAATAATATCGACCGCTTGTATAATAGCCGTTTATATTAAGGTCATACGTATCTGCCTATAGCAACCATATAAGTCCATTCACTAATATGGTTGTAGTCATACAACCTAAGCTAATTATATCGTTGTGATTCGTAGTAATATTGACCGTTTATATAATAGTCGTTTATATTAAGGTCATACGTATTGGCCTATAATAACCATATAAGTCCATTCACTAATATGATTACCTAAGATAATTATATCGTTATGATTCATAGTAATATCGACCGCTTGTATAATAGCCGTTTATATTACGGTCATACTTATCGGCCTATAGCAACCATATAAGTCCATTCACTAATATGATTACCTAAGCTAATTATATCGTTGTAATTCATATTAATATCGACCGCTTGTATAATAGCCGTTTATATTACGGTCATACTTATCGGCCTATAGCAACCATATAAGTCCATTCACTAATATGATTACCTAAGCTAATTATATCGTTGTAATTCATATTAATATCGACCGCTTGTATAATAGCCGTTTATATTACGGTCATACGTATCGGCCTATAGCAACCATATAAATCCATTCACTAATATGATTACCTAAGCTAATTATATCGTTATGATTCATAGTAATATCGACTGCTTGTATAATAGCCGTATATATTACGGCCATACGTATCGACCTATAGCAACCATATAAGTCCATTCACTCATATGATTACCTAAGCTAATTATATTGTTATGATTTATATTAATATTGACCGCTTGTATAATAGCCGTTTATAATTACATCATTGCGATTCACAATAATTGACTGTCTATATAATTTTATTCATTAAGGTCATACGTATCGGCCTATAGAAACCATATAAGTCCATTCACTAATATGATTGTAGTCATATAACCTAAGCTAATTATATCATTGTGATTCATAGTAAACTTGACCGTTTATATAATAGGCGTCTATATAATTTCATTAATTAAGGTTATATGTATTACCTTATTTATATAATAGTAAATATATAATTATATATATTTTTTTATTGGTTAATCTTAATTATAATAAAAGGGAAATCATGATTAAATTTTAGGAGTAATATATTCTAGTTTCTTTTTTAGGAGGGAAAATAAGAAGACATTTTTGGACTAAAATGTTAAATACAATTTTCGGAGGGGAACAAAGAGAAAAATAATAATATAATTGGAGGAAAATTGAAAGTTTTTACTCTTTACATATCTCTTAAACACAAGAACAACATCTCCAACTCTCTAAACAAAATAGATACTTTAAACATGAATGTTAACGTATGGATTGAAGAAGAATTCTATCCATGGTTTCGGATGAAGATGCCCAAATCGTACATTAAGCGTGATTTTATGGTAATTTTATTTTTCTTAAATTTTCATGATTTGATAACTATTGATTATCCCAACTAGCCATGAACCCTGAACCTTATCTATACATTATGTTCTTGCAGTTTATTCCAAAGAGTATTTGTGGCTATCTTCCTCCTATTTCGGTTAAAACAATGATTTGATGTAATGGGAAGGAGTGGGTTGTAACTCTCACAAGTGGTGTTCGGAGAAGACTCGTCAATGGGTGGAAACAATTTGTTGTCGGCAATAATCTGAAGAAAGGGAATGTCCTTCTCTTTAAACTAGTTGAGGCTACATCAGGGGCTGTGATCTTCTCTGTTGAAGAGCAAGGATTAACTAATGCTTAGCTTGATAATTTTATCTCTTTAGTTATATGTAATGACTTCAAATGGATCATAGTAATGGATTAATATGATTGTTCTTTATAATATTGTTATATTTATTTATTTTAAGAAGACTACTGGTTTATAAATAGCCAATTAAAATGGGAAAGTAATTAAACAATATATTTAGTGCAGAAGTCCCCCAATTTTTTCCTATAATTTTACAACCAAGAACAAGACTAGGAAGATTATTTTCTTTTTTCCAAAAAAAGTTTAAAAATCGACATTAATTTGCTCACTAATCAAAACCTAAACCTAAACCTAAACGAACCTAAATCAAAAGAGAACGTAAACCTAAACCTAAACTTAAACTAGGATCAAATAATCTTTACATGAATTAATCATGTCTTCTAAGGTAAGACTATGAGATAAACCTATGAAGTACATTTCCACTATATGGCAGAATTTAAAAAAAAATCCACAATCTGTATAAGCGGATGGATAAATTAAAGACAAACTTCTATAATTAATTATAGTCATGGAGGAGTGTAATGGTGCATAGAGGAGTGAAATAGACTACTGAAAAGTATAATTGTTGCATGAAGGAGTGGAAGGGGCTACTGGGAAGTGCAATAGATGCATGGAGGAGTGGGAAGGGGCTGCTAGGATGTGTAATGTCCGCATGGAGGAGCGGATATGGCTATTGGGAAGTGTAATGGTTGCATAGGGTCTCTACAAAGAGACTTTAATTCCTACTGGGAAGTGGAATAGCTATTATAATTGAGGGATTATAATCCTCCCTATATATTTTGAGTGAAATATGCTAGATCTACATAAAACAATCAAACTAAAAATACTACTACATCTAAGCATAACGATGGAAAGGACTCCGACCAAGAAAGCTATTGAACAACCGCTCCATGGCTCACTAGTTAGTCATAATATTTTGTACCAAGATCTTAAGCATGA